TCTTTATTTGAAATGTCGGTGACATAGCTTCCAGTATCACAGAAACATGAAAGACACCTCTCTAGAGCAAAGAGAAAGCTGAAAGACAAGCGATGTACCTATAAGAGCCAACTCTAAAGAAGCAAGATTTTTTAATGTTTTTAAATATAAAACTATTAAATAAGCAGCAACATCTCATGTTGCCTTTGCAACACAGAGAACTGACAGACAAGTTATATAACCGTAGGGGAAACACATGAAATGAGCAAGCATACAAATACGTATGCTATGGGGAATAGAAAACTGTCTGGCCTGGGGCAGTGGATCTGCCAGGTAGCAGAATGCTGGAGTAAGGGTGCCAAGTTAGGTCATTAGAGTGTTGATCAAAACCCCAAGAAGTCAGCCGGATCACAGGTCACCTCTACTGCTCGAGAGTGTGTGCAACATGTGTCAAGAATTGGAGCATTCATCTTGGGGCAGAGTTTCTACTGGCCTCGGAGGGGCCTAAATGAGTCTATCTAGCTAGAGAGGATGTCTTTGTTAATCTAGGTGCTGTGTACAGGCAGGATGCCTTGTCAGAGAAGGTTAGCGCAAAAAAGAGATAGTCACTGCCAATCTGACATATGTTCAAGTGTAGTTATATGTGGTAATGGTGTTTGTTGGGTGAGGGTGACCCAGTGAGAGAGAAGGATGTCTAGTCCGATGCAATGCTTCCACTAATCATTTGTCTCCCTGTCTTTGACTTTCTGTCTCCAAACTGTGGGCCAGGTATAGCATAATCTGCAGAATCTGGGAGGAATGATCTGAGAGCAAGATGGTATGGGCACAGCCTGAGGTAGAACTGGCTTTTGGGGAGCAGGGAATACTGTCTACCATCTGGTGAGTAGTGACATGGTCGGTAGAGGGGGCTTGAACAAAGAGGTAGATAGAGCCTTTAGAGTTGTGTGTATACTTCTGGAAAGTTCTCCTAGGTTCTAAAAGCATGGGAATAGCTGTTCAAGACAGCTGTGTGTGATTCTGGATTCTGTTTCTTTCTTTATTTGATATTTTTATTTAGTCTGTTCCTTCAGCCAGTGTCAGGTACCTAAACACCATCTTGTTCTCATGGAGGTAGAGGTCACAGAGGCATTGAGTCATCTAGCATAATTATTTCTATGCACATTTGATTATCTTGACTCTCACAAGCGAATCCCTCTTATGTCCTCAAATCAGATGAAAAAACTACACTAATGATCAATTTTAGTATATGTGTATTTAAAAAATAATGTGTAGTATCCATACAGATATTGGCTCTGTAGATCAACATTCCTAATCATATTTCCCAAATCTTCATTGATTTTTGTTTTAGGTTTAGTTGTTATTTCAGTTGCTAAAAGCAATGTAGTAGAATCTACCACTGTGATTATGGTTTTGCCTATATTTTTGGTGATACTTGTAATTTTTGTTTTATGAATTTCAATGCTGTGTTATTGTTGTTGCTACAAATAATAAAATATATTTTGACCAATGGCAACCCCATGTAACCAAGTAGAATAACTCCATAGGGTTTTCTGGAATGAACTGTTCCCAGAAATAGATCTCCAGGTCTTCCTTCCAAGAACTGTTAAGTGGCTTCACATCACCAACCCTTCAGTTAGTAGTTTAACTTAAAGCTCATGCATTGCACCTAGTGCTCAGCTTTGTTACTGGAACCTGCAAACTTAAAAATGGTTCACTGTTGGTGGGAGTGTAAAATGGTGCAACCTTTATTGAAGGCAGAATGGTGCTTTCTCAAAAAGTTGGAAATAGAACTACTATTTAATTCAATAATTCCACAACTGGGAATATACCCTAAAGAAACCATATCTGCCACCCAAGCAGATATAAGACAGTCATATTTATTGCTGCTTTATTCACAATAACAAAGAGTTAGAAACAACCCAAGTGCCCATCAACAAATGAATAGATAGAGAAGCTGTGGTATAGTCACAAAATGGAATACTATGTTGCATTGAAAGACAAATAACTCATGAATTATACAAAATTGGTGACCCTGGAGGATGTTATGCTGAGTGAAATATCTCAGTCACAAAAGGACAAATACTGCATAATGCCACCGTTGTAAAGCTGGATTGACCTTGTGGTTGGGGGCAAACTAAGAACTGCATTGAATATGATTAGGTATTATTGTCATAAGAAAAGTTCAGAACGAAAGCTGCATAGTGAAGTGGGCTGGAGTGGGGGAGATTGTATAACGATGAAAGAATTTTTATTATTATTATTTTTTTGTACTTTTCAAAGAGAAAAGCGAACTGGGGTGGTGTAGGGCAGGCAAGAAAGTGTGAAACAATGAATGAATGGAAATCCAAAGTCTCTCTAAACTTTAATTAAAATTAATTAAGAATGTTTCAACTAACTTGCTTATTTTTGTAATGAATAACTCTGTCATTAGTCTTGCTTTTGTTTTGGATGCAATACATCTTATATATAGGTATAGCTATCCCAGATTTCTTTTGGTTAAAATTATGTGAAATATAGTCTTTATTCCTTTTGCATTAAATATTTTCTGTATTTGTATATTGAACATGCATCTAAAAAGAAGCATTTTATTTTATTTTGTAAGATAAGAGTTGTCTTTTAAGCATTAGGACAATTTATTTTCATGCAATGAATTACATGAGTGGATTTTATACTTTAGACTGCCCAAAGAACAAACAAATCTGTCTTAGAGGAAGTGTAGTAGGGAGCTCTTTGAAGGCAAGGATGCTAAACTTTGTCTTATATACTTTAGGCTTATTTTCAGTAGGTACCAGTCCTTGGGGGAAAAAAGACATTTTACTGGGAAATGTGAATAAACGGGGAAGACCTCAACAAGATGATTGCCACAGTCACTGCAACAATGGGCTTGGTGGAGATCATGAAGTCATTACAAGTGTGGTCCGCTTGATGGGGTAGCAAAACTTTTTATTAAAAAAAAATTACTTTATTCTTTTCTTACACTTCTTGCTTTGTTGTAGACTATATTTTCTTATCCTTTATTCCTTTGTAAACATTTTAATAAGAAATTTTACCCTTTTTTCATTGTTTATAGAAATTAAAATGTACGTTTTAGGCTTACTGAGTCTAATATGCATTTGTTTTTTTACTATTGGCTAGACAATATAGGGATAAAAGACTTACTTAACTCTCTCACTTCCAATATTTTGTTCTTTGGGATCTATGTACTTTATTTCTACATGTAATTTAAGATACAAAACATTGTTTTCTGTATACTATCAATTGTACTTAATAAAATTTTATTTAAGTAGTTATTTTAATGTTTGTATGTAGAACTATCTCCATAAACGGATCTTCAAGGATCTATCCCTTTGTCTTTACTATTTTTTTCTCTTCATTGTTATTGTATTCTTGTACTTTTGTATGCTAAGTTGTTTTTTGTTATATGCTGTCAAGTTGCCTGTGACTCATGTTGACCCTAAGTACTACAGCTCTGAAGCCTGCCCTGTCCTAAGCCAGTCTCACATATTCTGACACACCTACTCCCATTTCCCTAGTTACTGTATCAATCCATATCATCCAGGATCTTCCTCTCCTGCTCTGTCCATTCACACTTCTGAGCATGATATCCTTTGCCAATGATCTGTCCCTCCTGGCCACATGCCCAAAGTATGTAAGACAGAACTTGAGAATCTTAGCATCCAAGAAGAAACTTGGTTTAACCCCCTCCAAGACAGATCTATTTGTTTTCTTGGCAGTCCATGATATCTTCCAGATAGCACCAGAACAACAACTCAAAGGCATCAATTCTTCTCCTGTCATGATTAGTTATTGTCCAGGGCTCTGATGCATAGCAAGTGATTGTGAAGACCATGGCCTGGATCAGGTGCACCTTAATCTCTAGACTGACATCATTGCTTCTCAGTACTCTGGAAAGGTCCCTAACAGGTTAGATACTTCATAAATACAATGAAAAATCATGATGACAAATTGAAATACTGGTTGATATCTTCATCAAAAGAGTATTTAGTTTTACTTCTGATTAGACTAACCAACCATCTGTTCGTGTTGGACTACAGTTTCCTAAGATGTGATCCTATATGTACTAAAACTGAAAAAGTCCTGAGAAAACTAGGATCACTGGTCACTTTCATGCTAATAAGAAGGGTATTGAAACTAGAGAAATAATTTAAAGAGAAAAACAAAACAGCCTTTTGTGAGGCTGGTTCCCTTACTTCAAATTGTAAACTTACTAGAATAAGTATTTTACCAGGTACTCCTTTCCTTGAAATTTTTGTTTAAGCTTTTGTACCTCCATTGTATAGCCCTTTGTGATTGCAATAAAATATTTTCCTTTTATCAGATATTGCTATTGAATTAGCAATGACCTTAAATAAAATTGGCACCAAGTATCAGATATACTTATTTAGACTTTCTTTCTTTATGAAATTTTGGCTTTTCCATCATCCTTGGCTTGAATGCTCTCTGAAGTCATTTAAAAATACACCTAAATATTTTATAGCTTCTAAATTGTTTTTCTAGAAAGATTGACCTTACATTTATTTTTCTCCTGTGAATCAGAAAATACTTATAATATTTTTATATTTTTACTTTGAAAAAATTGTTTAGTGTCATGTTTAGCTGATTATAATTATTAGCAATTTTGTCCTATAGAAGAAGAAAGATCAAGGTAGTTTCAAAAGATTTCCTAGAACACCTCTCAGCCACATATTTCTTTTTCTTAAGGAGAATATTATGTTTTAAAAAAGGATTTTCTTTTTACACCTGCTCCAACAATGTATAATAGAAAATATTATGCCACATAATATATTTTAAGATACCATCCATTCTAGATACAATTCTGCCATTGCATAACCCTTTCCAACCTGCATCTCCACTTTAGGTTGTTAGAAGGTTATCAAGATTCTCATAATAGACTCCTTGTTTTGATATAATATCAATTGCATAGCATGCAATCTAGGATGCCTTGTGATTATAGTGGGGAAATAAACCCTCTGTTCCTTAGTTTGGTCTCTCACTGAACTCTAAACTCTTCCTTTCTTCTCTGATAGAATTCGAACAATGCCACGACGGATCTCTTTGGTCTTGATGCTGTAGACAATGGGGTTAACAACAGGTGGGAAGAAGAGGTAGGCATTAGCCATCATAGATTGCAGGAGAGGAGATACATGATGTCCAAAGCGGTGTACCATGGACAAGCCAATCATAGGCACATAATAAGCTAGAACAGCACAGACATGCGAGACACATGTGTTCAGTGCCTTCCTTCTCCCCTCCCCAGTGGCAATACCCAGTACAGTGTGGAGTATGAGCCCATAGGAGACCACAATGAGCAACGAATCCAGCCCAAAAGTGGAGATAACAATGAAAAGGCCATATATATTGTTAATGGAAATGTCTCCACAAGGTAGATGAATGAGGTTGGGGTGGAGGCAATAGGAATGGGAGAGGACATTATGACCACAGAAAGGCAGACGGCGTAGGAGTAAGGGTAATGGGGCCATGAGCACAACGCTTTTCAGTGCAATAAGAACTCCTGTACCAAAGATGCGGGGTAAAGTCAATATGGCAGTATAGCGCAAAGGGCTGTATATAGCCACGAAACGGTCCACAGACATGGCTAGCAGCACAGCTGACTCCATGATTGAGAAGGAGTGAATGGAGAACATCTGGAGAAGGCATGCATCGAAGTCAATTTCGGTGATGCCAAATAGGAAGATGCCTAGCACTGTGGGCAGGGTGCATGCAGAAACACCAACTTCAGCCAATGCCAAGAGTGCAAGAAAGAGGTACATAGGCTGGTGTAGAGCGACATCTGTTCTGATGACATGTAGAATTGTACCATTTCCAAAGAAGATGATGACGTATATCAGGCAGAAGGGAATGGAGATCCAGATATGCTTTGTCTCCAGGCCTGGAATTCCAACCAGAACGAATGCAGTAGGCAAAATATCCGAGCTATTGGAGTTCTTCATGTTGAAATATCATCCCATAAAATTAGTGTTACCTTTATATTAAAAGCAAACAAATAGATACAATCATCAGAAAAGCCATTGGACACTGAGAACAGACAAGACTAAAACTAAATTCAGAGACTCAAGTGACCCCCCCCAAAAAAAAATCTCATGAAGCTGAGTCATGCCTGAAAACTGAGCGATGCCCATTATTAGGATACTTAAGTGAATAGGGATTATATTCTCCATTTTAGACAAATTCTGTACTAGTTGATAAATCTCTAAGAGAGAGAGCTACTTTGTATGAATATGTCTGGCCTTTGAAAGCTGTAGAAGAGAGACAGATATGTAGCAAATATCATCTTATAATGTGGACTCAATAAACAGATATTTTATTGATAATCAAGTTAAATCAGAACAGATAGGACCTTGTGCCTACACTGGGCTTTGATCTTCTGAAGTCTAAAAATAACTGGAAAGCAACTTTATATGTTATATAAATGTTATATGCCAAGAGTTGAATGAAGCAATGAAGGCAGGAACGTAGGTTGATGCGTTTACAGACAGCCTTTAAAATTGATCAACATATTTTCTCAATAGTATATCCACATTTTCTCCATCCTAGTTTTCAGACAACTTCTAGTCCATTTGAACTTCTTTTCTAACTCAGACATACTCCTGAATATATTATAGTAACAAAACAAAAAACATAAATAATATTTTAAGGAAAGCTCTCCTGAAAAAGGAGAAGGTTAAGAAAACCATCTATCTCCCAGATTAACTGTGCTTTGTCTCCGTGCTGTATGAATTAGGGTAAGAAGAACAATGGAATTCTGGGCTTGAAAGTTTGTAAGGACTCTATAGATATTATTATTCAACTTAACTCCCACTTGAAACACACATCTATTTGTACAAATATACTTTCTGCACTTACTGAAACATTTTCTCTGCATCCTCGTTGTTGTGGTATACAGGGACCTCTCTGTCTCTATCAGTTCTTAATAAGTTCTACCTTTCCCTGTTGATCTAGACACAATTAACCTCTTCTTTGTCGAGTATGCAGAATTTATCAATGCAGAATCCTGACCTTATTCACACAAACTTTTCCGGAATTTTCAATCACAGGTGACAAAGAACACATTTTATCCCACAAATAGTCAAGTTAATTATCAAGTTTGTTGAAAGCTGCTCTTTTCTAAGCAGTTCTAGTTTTGTGTGTGCTACAAAGCAAAAGTTTTGAGAATAATGTGTGGGATCTAGAGGAATAAACAACTTCCTTGTAGGAAAGTTTTCTACGAGAAGTGATATTAAAACATATGTGTGGCATTAGTGGGAATCTGCTAAACACAATGGAGGGATGGGATTAGTGTACACAAAAGCAAAACAAATTTTACCATCATTGTGGGCATATAAGACTGCACTTTGATAAAACTTTGATAAGGGAGATCTGATGGCCTCCTCAATAGGGCACTGAGCTACCAAAGCTTATGCCTCTCTGGCAATTTGAGGGAGATTGATGGGCAATATCTTCCTAAGACATTTATAGCCTCAGGAAACCTGCTGGAAAGTCAGTTATGAGTTGATTATGACTCAATGACAATGATGTTTTTAATGAAGGGGGGAAGTGAAAATACTTAATGTATTAGTATATTAAAGTCTAAAATGCATTCATGCTTTCCCCCCCTACTTTTGTGTGTGTGTGTGTGTGTGTGTGTGTGTGTGACAATTAGTGAGGAAAATATGTTTACTGCCTGCATAAATATATGACCCTTGGGTACCTATCAGAGTCTGATGCAGTTTAATTTAGAATCATGAAGTTATTAGCTTAGAAAAAAAAATCTGTACTAAGATTTGTGCTAGGATTTAGTGGGTAGAGAAATTTAGAAATAGTTCATTGACCTCAAGATATGATCACATACACAAGAACTTCCCACGGCTGAGGAACTTAAAAGACATTTCTCTCTATTTTTCATGCTTGTTCTCTTTATCTACAAATGACAAATGCATCTTTTCAGTCCTTTATAGGGATGTCCTATTAGACTGCCTGTAGGTTGAACAACTGCTCCTCCCATGTGGTAAATCATGGCACTCTTGCTCTGATTTCTCAGATATTGCCTGCTATTCCTCTAAGTAACTGGAATTAAAACCCAATGTCTTTGAATCAGTTCTGATGGTAGAGAACCTGAAGAGCAGAGTAGAACTGCCTGACAGGTTTCTCCAGGTGCTAAGTCTTTACTGAAGCAATCTGGCCTATTTTCTTCTGTGGTCTGGCTGGTAGGCTCCAGTCACTCACTGGCTTTCTCATTAGCAGTCAAATACCTTAACCACAACACCACCAGGATTCTTTGAACTGATGTGAGAAATTGGAACCAAATCAACTTGAAACTTGAGTCTCTTCCTATCGTCAATAGTGGTCTTGAGCTTTCTACACTAATTTTATTTTTCTTATTACTTTTGTTCCTCTCCCCCCCCAAAAAAAACCCCCTCAAAAAACCCTTTCCATTCCCACCTTTCAGAACTTTCCCTGACAGATAGAGAACAGACCTCCTTGTAAGGGATCTTGTAAAGCAGTAATTCGCTTGAGTTTAGAAATTATTGAGCAGGAACATTTCAAGATGGGTGAAGTAAAAGTGACTGCACTCTGGATAATTTTTTTATTTATTCCTTTGTTTTTTAAGCAGCTACAATTCCACCTCATAGTGACCCTCTTGGAACTAGGCAAAATGGAAAGTAGAGCCTATTTGTTGTATATATTTATCTACTTAGCCTTAGTGTACTATTAATTTTTTTTTTCTTTTAAAGATAAACAGTCATGAGTCTGAGAATTTAATGTGAGCATTTGTCAACTCAACTCACTATCAGTGAGCTAATTACAACTTGGAGGTTTGGGGTTTTTGTTTGGTTGGTATTTTGGCGTTTTATGGGTTTTTAGGCTTCAAATATTTTTTTTAATTTTCATACAGCTCTTTTTTTAACTTCTTCTTTTTTTTCCTTATTTTTTATTATTAATTTGAATGAAAGTTTACAGTGACTGGGAATTTCCATTCATTCATTTTTCCACTTTTCTCCCTGTCCACCCTTCGCTCCCCCCCCCATTCACTCTTCTCTTTGAAAAGAAAAATTTTTTCTTTGTTATACAATCCCAACCCCCAAGTCCACTCCACTATGCATAGGCTTCAAATCTTAATAAGAGACTGCCCAACTTTCTCTTGAGGAGTTCCTGGTAGATTTAAATATGCGAAGCAGTGTGGTCTTTTTGTTATCAGTGTAAATCCCTACAAACCAAGCCATCAGAACTTCTCAGTGAATATCTATGTATGTCCCCTTTACTATTCCTACCTTCTCTTCTTTCAGAAATTCTCAGAAGGAATAAGTCACAATCAGAATTAAGTTTCTTAGATTTAGTCTAAATTTTCTATTCATAGTGCTGAAAGGAAACTCATCTTTGTCTCACTAATCTTCAGAGGGAGAAAAGATGACAAGATCTTTCTATTTGAGCAGTGAGGGAGACAAAAAAAAAAAAAGATACCTGCACGGCACAATGAATCTAAGGTCATATAGCCTCAAAACTATTTCTAGAATTCATTCACTCTTTATGGTTTTTCTTTTGTTCTTTCACTATCTTCAAGTTTAGACAAATTGTTCCTTGGTCTTATGACACAGGCTATGAAGCAATGAGATGACTAGTAACTGGGGCAAATCTTCAGCTTTTTGAACTTTGGGACTCCTGGAGGCTTTGTCAAGAAATAAAGACTGGGCATGTGTATCTACACTCACCAGGAGCAGAGCTGATCTCTGAGCTTCAAAGAGGACTGGGAACTCACTTCACCCTGGCATCAACATCTTCTTATCTCTGAGACTAGAACAGCTGCCTCTCTTTTTGTAAACTAAGCTGAGGCTCCAGGGAGTGTATCTGCATTCCCTGAGGAGCAATTACTCAGGTATTCATTTGACCCGTTTTCAAGGTCCTGTGATCTCTAAAAAAAGAGGCAAGTATGTAAAGTCAGACAAATAGATAATAATATTCACCTATTAAAATTGAAATAATGCCTATCAGTTGCTTAGAAAAAGATATGACTCAAAAATAAACCACAAAAGTTACATCCTGGAATATTAATATGCTCATCTAAAATATTCATTGATTATCACTTTCATGAATTTATCAAGTTAGAAGAAAGATAATGGGATTCTTACTACCCAAAGATTATTATCGTTGTTGCTGTTAGATGCCCTCAAGTTGGTGCGATTCATAGTGACCCTATGAATAACCTTTAACCTTCTCCTATCCTGTGTTATCCTCATTATCTCTGACATATTCAAGTCTGTTGCTTAAATCAAATCACCTTGTCAATCTTCAAGACTTCATCAGAAGTCTTGCTCTCCTTTGTTGGTCTTCCATCTTTCCAAGCATGATGTCCCTTTCCAAGGAACAACCTAGCTACATGTCCAAAGCATGAAAGATGAAGCTTCATCATCCTTGCCTCCAAGGAGTACTCTGGTTGGACCTTCTCCAAGATTTATGTCTTTGTTCATTTGGAATACTTCAGCACCACAACTCAGTGGCAACAATTCTTATTCTGTCATTCTTATTCATTGTCCACTTCTTTGATGTGTAGCAGACGAAGACCTGAGTCAGCTGCATCTTAGTCTTCAAATTGACATTGCTCTTTAAGATTTTGGAGTGGTTTCTGACAGCAGACCTGACAAATGCAATATATCTCCTGATTTCTTGACTGCTGGTTCCAGGGGTGTTGATTGTTGATCCAAGGAAGATTAAATAATTGACAGGTTCAATCCTTTTCCCATTTATCAAAATGTTCACTGTTGGTCTTGTGGTGAATGCCTTTGTTCTCTTGATGTGGAGATGTAATCCATATTGAAGGCTGTGTGGTCTTTGATCTTCTCTAGCAAGAGTTTTATATCCTTCTTGGGGGGAAAAGTGATTTGACTTGGAAATACCAAGAACTCCTTTAAACTAATGGCTTTTTGAATGATGAAAGAACAACTCAATTCTCTATTCT